TCAGTCCTGGCCTTTGCATGTGATGGCAGGTGCTTCAACCTGGCCTGTCCCCAGACTTGATTCTTGGGCGCACCCATGGGTGTTGCAGCCTGTTGTCAGCCTGGCCTGTGTATAACCCCACTTCCCATGAGTGTTGGTGAGTTTTGAGGTCATTCCTAGCTCAGTCTGTCACCATCCCCAGTTGTTACACAAACCAGTGAGTACCACAAACCCACAGGGGTGAGTCCACATATCCCCTATAGAATCTGTCCCTAGAACTGGTTGAACTCATGGACCAGTCTTGCATGGCCCCCAGCCGTAGTTTTCATGTGTGCCGACAGCTGATGGGTGATGCCACCAAGGCCAGCCCAGGGTTCTCACTTGCACAGGTGCATTGGCCTACCCAGACAAGCCCTCCAGTTTCCCCTCTGTAAATCATCTTATCTCAGCTTCCTTATTTACCTGCAAGTGGAATGATCTAATCTGTCAAAGCCCTCAGAAGTCATTCCACACCTGGAAAGCATTCCTTCAACAGCCCTCACTCCCACATATTTCCAAACTCCATTCCCTCGGCAATCTGTGGCCATCACCCACCCCCAAAGGCACTGGGGGCTGGGGTGACATGTCCTGTAAAAATAATTCTAACTATACTGCTGAGTTGAGGTCTTACATATTTAAAGTGTATTAGTTATTTGGATTTGTACTTATTTTTCAGAAAGGCAGAAAGACAATGAGAGAGAAGAGTAAAGAAGTTAGAAAACTCCTATCAAGTGGTTCACTTCTCAAATGCCTGCAAAAGCATTTGCAGGTCTTCAGATCAGGTGGAATCTTAATCCAGGCTCTCCTGTAAGGTGGCAGAAGTCCCTTACTTAAGGCATCAACACTGCCCTATGGGTGTACACTAGCAGAAAGCTGGGTTGGGGGCTGCAGCATGGAACCCAACCTAAGTACTCTAGCGCAGGATATGAGTTTCTTCACCAACATCTTAGCCACTAGGCTAGATACACATATCTAAATAATCCCATTGTACCTGTACCAGGCTTTTTAACACTCGTGAAATCCAGGGCAAATTTTTCCTGATTATTATGAAAGTTGGTGTGAAGGATTATGCTTGCTTACATGGTATTGTGTTATCAGAAATTTGAATTGTGAAAATGCCTAAAATATATGAGTCAAACATTTAATGCAAAATGGATATGGGAATGAGTCACTAAAAACTAAATGCATACAGATGAAAATTGTACAATTCTTGAATATTCAGCATGGCTGTTTAGTCATATTCCAAATATACACACTCTTGTAAAGCTTAAAAACACCAATGACAGGGCCAGGTGTCATAGCCTAGTGGCTAAAGTCCTCTCCTTGCATGCCTGGGATCCCGTATAGGCAACAGTTTTAATCCTAGCTGCTCTACTTCCCTTTCAGCTCCCTGCTTGTGCTCTGGGAAAGCAGTCAAGCACAGCCCAAAGCCCCTGGTTCCTGGCTCTTGGCTTTGGATTGGGTCAGCTCTGGCCATTGTGGCCACTTGGGGAGTGCATCAGTGGATGGATCTTTTCCTTGTATCCTCTTCTCTGTCTGTCTGCCTTTCCAATAAAAATAAATAAATCTTTTTAAAAAACTAATGACAGAAAACATTATTCTTTTTCAAATAGTTAGTTCTGCATGTAAAATTTTGATTATTTTGTGTCTTGGAATTCCTTGACAATGAATTTTAAAGATAGATTCATGGAAAAAATCTCATGCTGGATACACTCGAACTATCCAAATATTTCAACCACACATTGAATCATTAGGATCTACCATCTAGCAGAATTCTAAGAGTGATTCCAGAACACATACTCCGTCCCTGCCACACTTCCGGGGGTATCTCCTTCCCACCACTGGCTTAGGTGACACAGCATGGATCTTTTGGGACCTGCATTAGCACTGTGGTCCTCTCTCTCTCTCTAGAGTCCTATGGTCCTATGGTCCTATGGTACACGGGTGCCTGACCACAATCACCTTCCCCAGAAAGTGGACAACACTCAGGACTACCACTTCCATATCCCCCAGACAGGGGAAGACAAAGCACTTCTGCCTCTTCTTTCGTATTTGCAAGAGAGATCTAAACTTCACTTGAAATACAGGAGTGGTCTAGTGGTTTTGGTGAAAGGAAATATTCAAAGGAGATAAAAGAGAAACTTTGAGCATCATTAAATATCGTTAAGTACATTCTCAACTAAAAACATTACTTACATTTTGTGTTTTAGATGAAATTGCCATGAAATTCAATGAAGTTTGTTTGAGTGGTCAAATGTAAGAGATCAGTAGAAACTGATGTCTTAACAGCTACAAGGACAGGTAGAAATCTTCTTTCCACCCCTGTAACAAGCTGTGAATCTTCAGCATGTACTTAATCTCTCTATGACTCAGTTTTTCTGTCTATAGAGAGGAGCCAACAATATTTTTCTAGAGAAGTAGATGTGGGGATTCTAGAAAATATACCTATTGGCCAAGCATGTGCCTGGCATATAATCGGTACTGAGTGTGTTTTTATATTTTTAGAAGATAAATACAGCTCTTTTCTATACATATATAAACCTTGTAGAGGAAATATTAATTTACTTGGTTTTATTGCTACAAGTGAGTTGCAATTCACAATCCAATGCTTAGTAATGAATCTAAGTCTTGAAAAGTGAAGAATCTAGAAATTGGCAGAGGACAACACCTGAAGGCAAATCAGAATTACTTCGTAATCTAGCTTAAGCTATTTTCCCATTCCTTTGTTTCTCTTTTTGTATGATTTATTTTATTTGTTTGGAAGGCAGTGTGACACAGAAAGAAACAGACATGCAGAGAGAGCTCTTCCATCCTCTGGTTCACTCCCCAAATGACCATAACTGCCAGGGTTGGGCCAGGTAAAATGCAGCATCCTGGAACCCACCCTGGACTCTGCGTGAGTGGCAGCCATCCAAGCACGTGAGCCATCATCTGCTGCTTTCCCAGCTGCATTACCAGGGAGCTGCATGGTAAGCAGAACAGCTTGAACCAGTACTTTCATCTTAAAGATTTATTTATTTTTATTGGAAAGGCAAATTTAGAGAGAGAAGGAAAGACAATGCAAAAGGTCTTCCATTCACTGGTTCACTCCCTAAGTGGCCGTAATGGCCAGAGAGACCTGACCCAAAGTCAGAAGCTTCTCCTAGAACTACTATGCAGATGGCAGGATCCCAAGGCTTTGGGTGGTCCTCTACTGCTTTCCCAGCCCAAAATAGGCAGGGAGCTATACAGGAAGTGGAGCAGCCGGGACATGAACCAGAACCCATAAGGGATCCAGGCACTTGCAAGGTGAGCATTTAGCCACTGAGCCATTGCACCTGGCCAGAATTAGTACTGTGATATGGGATTTTTGCATGGCAGATGGCAAGTTAATGTACTGAGCTACAACGCCAGGCCCTAATCCCATGTTATTCTTCCTGTGATATATTTGTGAATATGCATCAAAGATGATGGAGGAAACTCCTCGGTGTGGGGAAACCACATCCATTTTGCAATGTTGGCTTTGGGAAGACTTTCTCCCTCCCTAGTTACCCATCATCAAGACAATGGAGATGACAGATGACTTCTCTGCTGCTCCCAGAACATGCAGTTAACCATTCCTCATTCAGTCAAGAGTTACTGCCCCAAGAGATGAGAGTCAAAGATCTCTCTCTGACCTTATATTACTTGTCCTCACATACTTTTCTGTGAAGCTCTGACTCTCACTCCTTCTTGGAACTTGAGCAAAAAGCTCTGCCTAGTGCAAGACTCCAAGAAATTCCCCTGTAAACTAAAATACATCTGACTACCAGCAGAAACTGCAGAGTAAGTTCACCGTGGGGCCTTAGGCAACCCTGCAATTGTCATTTTTCTGATCTGAGTCCAACTCTAGTTAAAAAGTTGTGACTAATAATATAAACACTATCATACTGATTCTAAGTAATTCAACCATCATTAAAATAGACATAATAGTCCCAGTGATAAAAATCTTGAATGACTCTTTCCCCGTGAGGACTAAACAAGCTTAGATCTCAGAATCATCTCTCTCAGGGCTCTCCTGGTTTCTGATCCACGGGAGGAGGCACCATGGGCAAGAAACAGCCATGAGTCCATAGTCAGAGACAGGCATGAGGGCTTTGCATTGAAGAAATTTCCTTTATTGCAAGACAGCATACACAGCCTACCTAAAAACATGTGTCACTTGTGGAGTTGTATGCAGGGAGAATCTGAAAATCCTCCAAGTCAAAATAACCTATACATAGGATTTTGTCTTTATTTCCAATTTTTCTAGCCCAAATTGTTGTCTGGCTTTGACATCAAAGGGTTACCATCATGGTGAATTGGGACTCCAACAAGCTATCAGCTCTTGGAAAAGCACAAAACCTGATTTTCAAAATTTCAGGAAATTGTGTCTCGCACTTGTGCTGCCTTCTCTAGAAAATTCTGACTCCAGTCACATGGACTGCTCCTCACTTCATTCAGGTGTGTGCTCAAACGTCCTTACTTTGCAGAAATCTCACTGACTGTCCCACGTGCTGTGGCACACCACACTGCAAAGCAAGTCAATGTCACCTTAGCACCCCTTCATCTTCCTTCTCACTCTCATGGCACTCTTTTGGCTGTCCCACTCCCCGGCAGCTTGAGATACAAGCTCCATGACAACAGTTCTTCACAAAGAACCTGGAACTCAAGGACATATTAAATAATTGTCAAGTAAGTGAATGCACTGTAGTTGTTTTAGCCAAATGTCTCACATCTTTAACTGTCTTCCCAGCAGGAATGAATCTCAAAGTTCCTGAGAGCCATCCAAGGCTAGGTCTCCTTAGAAATCCTTTGTCACTTCATACAACGAAGCAATTGTATCCACCTCAGGTATCCAGGGAGTTCACAGATCGTAAGTTTCTCTTTAAATCTACCCAGACTATAGTTAACTCACACTCCACTTCCTCCTCCCCAAGCCACAAATATTTTCTCACTCTGGAAACCCAGGTCTTTTTTCTTACCGTATTTACCCGAAGAGCTGGTGAAGAGAAGATAGTCAGCAGCACAGGTCTTGGATTCAATATCCAAGTCTCCCAACCTCAGAATCAGTGTCTTCCCCTTTGGGACTCTGATCGTCTTCTCGCACACTGTATGATTGGGGTAAGTCCCTGGATAGTTCTTAGATGTCATTGTGCCACTTTCCTGATAGCTCACAACATGCCCACAGCCATCACCTGGTAAAGAAGAAAGGATGAGAGAGGTGAGTGCCAATAATTCTTGTGAGAACAAGTTATGTATTTCATTCTCTCACTCTCTGTCTCTCCTCCTCTTTTTTTTGGGGGGGGGGGAGAAAGAAGAGCTAATAAACATATCAATAAACTGTTACCGAACTATTAAATACCATCTATTATTTTGGGTTATTTATCTGTTGCTTTTCAGTTTACTCTTCTAAACATTGCTAACCGAAAAAAAAAAAAAGTTCCACATAGGGACAGGCCTTGTGGCATAGTAGGTTAAACTGCTGCTGTGGCATCGACATTCTGCATGACAGTGCTGGCTGCAGCACTCCAGCCCCTCCACTACTGAACCAAATTTTTGTTAAAGTGTCCTGAGAGGTCCTGAAATGATGGCCCAAATAACTGACCCAGATGCAGTTCTCAGCTTATAGGTTCATCCACGCTCAGCCACAGCCATTGCAAGCATTTACAGAGAGAGCCAACAGATGAAAGATTCATTCCCTCTCCCTCCTTCCAAGTAGATGAAAATTTAAAAAAAAAACAAAACCCAATACTTAATGGAAAGCCTTAAGAAATACACCATGTCCTTTGCATTAATGCATTTGTCAGGTTATTGCCAAAGTCAATGCCACATCATAATGCAAAACAGAAGAAATAACATTACTCAAGTAATGAGATAGCAAATACAAGAGGCTCCTGCTAGAATCTCAGGAACTGAACCTAGGAATCATTGCACATTTATGTTTTGGACAATGAGAGCTACAAAGTCAGAGTCCTGAAAGATGCAGGATGTAGTATTACAATACTGCAAGAATCTACTGCATTGAGAACTTGCCCTATACCAGACATGATATCTGTTGGAGACGCATAAAAGCAACCAGGATTGACTCACAGAATAGAGTGAAAGAGGAGAAATCATACATTCTGATAAATAATTCTAGATTCTGTGTGCTGTATCCAGAGAAAATGAAGAGAAAAAAAAGTTTCAATGAATTATCAGTTTTCCCTTAAAATAAGAAGTTAGCTTAAGGTTTTTCTGAAGCAAAAAGTCTTTTGAAACTACAAGTTCCCCGACTAACCAACAACTCAACTCCAGTTGATTAAAACAATCAAGTTAGTCACACAAATATCTAAGTGCATAACTGGGTGGGTTGTAAGGTGAATAAACACATAATGTAATCACACTGCAAAATACCTGTGGTCAAGGTAGTTTTGCATAAACACAGCAAGAATTTCTAGACTTGGCTGGTGGGAAAGAACACAGATTGTTGCATAAAGAACTCTCTGAGGCCTCTCCATGTCCAAGTATGCCATAGAGAAGGCTCCATTTGGATACACTGGGAATTGAAAGGGCACAAAGCATCCTCTACCTTTTCACCCTCTGTCTTAGCTAGAGTTGGAACCAGATATAATCTTCCTTTATTCCACTGCCTTCTTGCCAGAAGGTTTTTTAGCCCAAATGGGAACAGAGGCCTAATCAAAGCAAGTAGAGAAATATAAAGAGAGTAGTGGCCATAGAACTCCAGGACTTCTCATCTCAGTAGCCAACGCCTAGAAAAAGTATCTACTCATTTTCTGGAAAGTCCCACAAGATTCCAGGAAGCCTTTCCCAGAGTGCTAGATGGTAAAACTAGACAGTTAAGATAAAACTACTATGAAACCTTGAAATCCCAGCATAAGTCGTATAGGGTAGTTGCTAAGGAGCCACAGAATTTTTTTTTAAGTCAGCAGACAATGAAACAGACATTAGGAAAAGATGACCAATCTGGTTAGAGAATGCTTGAGCACCTGAGGGTTGTAACAGGATCTGTATTAGAATAGCAAGATAGCAAGAGGATGGTTAGGAATACAGGAGCTGGATGCAATGGAAAGGTAAAAGAATAATGGATATAATCACAAGACAAAATCTATACTCATGTTTGGGCTACCCACAATGGGAAAGACAAGAAGAGGAATAAAAGTAATCACAAGTTTTGAGTCCAGAAGTGACTGAAGCATTGATGCTACTACAGACACGGCAAGGATCCCCAGCGAGGGAGCAGGTGTGGGGAGGTGGGGGGCAAGGGTTGTAAGCAACAGATTAATCCCTTGGGTCCTAGGGCAGTTACCAACAAGTATAAATTGTTGAGCATTAGACGAAACTAAAGGAGAAATACATGATATAGAAGCATTGAGTTTTGATTAAAAATGAAATTGTTTGCCTGCTTTTAAACATTTTAATTTAAGATATCCATTTTACAAGTTCTCTTGAAAGCTGTAACATATGGCAATTACATAGCAATAGGGATTCTCATAGGACTAGTGGGACATGGCTGTCCTGTAAAATGAGACCAGCACCTTCACACCCGATCAGGTCCTTATTTCTCACATCTATGACTTGTCTGGCCTTTGAGGGTTGACGCTGACCAGAGGGTAATCAGTGCATAAAGCAAGGAGCTATGCATGTATTATTACACAATACTAAGTCATCTCCTGGCCAATCCCCTTACTACCTCTCCTCTTAGTGCTATGAAATTCTCCTTCACAAAAAGAAGAGAAAGAGAAAAATTGTGAAAGAAAACACAGTGGAGCATTATGTCAATCAAACTTACATGATTATTGTAGTTTAAATGTTAATAAAAAGAAAATGATATATAAAAAAAAAAGAAAGAAAATGAAGGGAAAAATCCCAGGGTGTCATTTATTCAAATCTATAATTATATTCCTTTCCAATCACTTCCACTCTAAAGCCCAAAAGGAAATTTTCCACTCAGTGATGGTGGCAGAAGGTAAGCGGATCTTTCTTTCTTTCTTTCTTTCTTTCTTTCTTTCTTTCTTTCTTTCTTTCTTTCTTTCTTTCTTTCTTTCTTTCTTTCTTTTTCTTTCTTTCTTTCTTTCTTTCTTTCTTTCTTTCTTTTTTCTTTTTTTTTACAATATTTATTTATTTTTATTACAAAGTCAGATATGCACAGAGAGACAGAGAGAAAAATCTTCCATCTGGTGATTCACTCCCCAAGTAGCCGCAATGGCCAGTGCCATGCCGATCCAAAGCCAGGAGCCAGGAACCTCCTCCAGGTCTCCCACGCGGGTGCAGGGTCCTAAGGCCTTGGGCTGTCCTCAACTGCTTTCCCAGACCACAAGCAGGGAGCTGGATGGGAAGTGGAGCAGCTGGGATTGGAACCGGCGCCCATATGGGATCCCGGAGCGTTCAAGGTGAGGACTTTAGCCTAGGCCACCGCGCCGGGCCCCAGATTTATCTTTCACATTCCCATAATTATCTTGTCAGGAATCGTGACCTCTTTGGGAAGCTTTCCCTTTCCTTGTAGCTATCAGAACTAGATACCATGAGTCTTGGTTCTGCCAAATAACCTGAATTGCAAAGGAATTACTGAGTCCTGAATTATTAAAATGCAAACTGTCTTCTTCAAAAGGTGTAATTTTGCTTTTGCCTGTGGAAACAGTTTATGGAGTTTTCAGTGGCAAGTATTAGTATCATCAATTTATTCTGTTTGTGTTAACCACTTAGAGGTTTTCACCCCATTCCTCTTCAGCAGTTTTGATGACTTCAAAGGACTAGGTAGAAATATGCCAACAGGAAAACGAAAAACTGCTACAGACAGAAGACAACTGTGGTATCATATACTGAATAAGGCAGATGCATGCAAATGGAAAACAATAGAAAAACACTATTCCCGTGTCCTCATCCTGACACTGAGGCTGCCCAGTCCTCTGAAAATCATCAGCAAAGGAGGCAAAATTCATTGAAAAAAAAAAAAACTATTAGTTGTGTCCCATACGTTGTGTGTCGGTATCATGGTCGTTTATTGCTTTGCAAGAGGTGATGGGGAGGTAGAGAATTAGAGGATGAAGGAAAGAATATACCACGTCTTTCCTTTTAGTGTTTACAACTGGATATGATCTACAATGATCTCAACATGAATAGTTAACTAAGAAGCAGACATTTACACTGGTTATTAAGACATCCGCATTGCATAGTGAAGTCTCTGGGTTCCAGTTTCTGACTCCAACTTCCTGGAGATCCTGGAAGTCATCAGTGATAACTCAAGTCATGGCTACTTGCAGTCCATGCAGGACCTGGATTGCATTCCCAGTTCCCAGCTTCAGTGCTGGCCCAGTTTTGTTGATTGCAGGAATTTGGGGAGTGAACCAATGGATGAGAGCTATTGTTATCTTGTCTATATCTCTACCTATTAAATAAATTCAAAAGTATTTATAAAAATTGAAAAATTAAAAAGCATTGTGTCCAGTTAAACTTGATTGGCTGGGGGGTAGATGTCAGGAGGCTTCTTTTTCTTTTTATGTATTTCTATAGTATTTTGGGTTTTGTCATCCTGTTACCTATTTAAATTTTTTAAAGCTAAAGATCGCTATGGAATGAGAGCCAATAAAGGAGGTCAGGTTTGTTTTTAAGTTTCTTGGTTGTGAATATATTATCTATGTTTCTTACCCTTGTTTAAGGAACATGATGAAGTATTGTGTCTCTTAGGGGTTTTAATGTATGTCCCAATTTACAGAGAGAAAAAAATGCATATTAACTTTCCTTAATGCTGGCCGATCCCAGACTATAATTCCTGTAAGAACTAGAACTGCTCTTTCAAACAGATCTTCCTTTTAGAAACTCTCACATCATCATCTACAGAAAAGCACAACTCCCTACAGAGAGATAACCAACTCTGACTATGGTCATTGGTAGATGATAAACCACTGGGTAGAAGGTTAGTGGAGGTAGTGGATGTGGTTGGGGAGTGCCTTTGGGGGTCAGCGTGGAATGAGGTGTTTATGTGTCCAGCAGAAGGAAAGAGGGCTGCCAAGTGTTTGAGTCCACTGATAATTTCATCTGGCCTTAGCAGTTGCTGCAGGCCTGGTGAATTCTGATGCCAGGCACAGAGCTGTTGTCTTTGATGGGTTCTGTGTGATGCAGAACACGGTGGTGGATTGGGGGAAGGGACTCATTCTCTCATTCAACAGGTGCAGAAAATAATTTTCTCTGATTGCTG